AAATTGAAATTAGTCATTTGAACACTTGGAAAATTGAAATTAGTCAATTTGAACACTTGCAAAATTAAAATTATTTAATTTGAACACTTGCAAAATTGAAATTAGCCAATTTGTACACTTGTAAATTTGATTTTAGTCAATTTGAACCCTTGCAAAATTGAAACTAGTAATTTGAACACTTGCAAAATTGAAATTTGTCAATTTGAACACTTGTAAATTTGGAATTAGACAGTTTGAACACTTGCAAAATTGAAATTAGTTCATTTGAACACTTGTACATTTGACATTTGTTAATTTTTACACTTGCAAAATTGAAATTAGACAATTTGAACACTTGGAAAATTGAAATTAGCCAATTCGAACACTTCCAAGATTGAAATTACTCAATTTTTACACTTGCAAAATTGAAATTTGTCAATTTGAACACTTGCAAAGTTGAAATTTGTCCATTTGAACACGTGCAAAATTAGAATTAGTCAATTTGGACACTTATAAAATTAAAATTAATGAATTTAAAGACTTGTAAGTTTGAAATTAGTCAATTTGAATACTTGCAAAGTTGAAATTTGTCCATTTGAAAACTTGCAAATTTGAAACTTGTAAAATCGAAATTTGACAATTTAATCACTTGCAAATTTAAAATTTGTAAATACGAAAATTTCTAAACACGAATCTCCACAAATCCAAAATTTCCGAATTCCTAATTTCCGAAATAAAAGTAAAAAATTCCCAATTTCCCAAATTCAACTCCCCAATTTTGCAAACTAAACCCTTCAAAACTTCCAAATCCTCTCAAATGCATACATTCTAAACTTCAAAACACAAGTTCTACAGCCCTACACCACAAAAAACTTCCCCCATCCAATCTCTCACAAAGTTAGAACTGAAAAATGTTCCTCGAACACCCAGTACGTTGAAACTACCAGATAAACAAACTGCAAATGAATGAAATCTCAAAACAACGCTACGACAAAGCAAATAATAATGTGTACAATAAACGTTGTTTATATTTAATTTATGACGTTCAAGCACACATTTGTAGACGCAAATGTCGATAAGCCGATTGAGAGCTCGGTTAATTCTACTTTAAAGTGAAACAAAAACTGAAAGCGTCCCGTGTTCCTTTCACAGTCGTGTTCCAATTAACGAAAGTAAACTGTGATTTACACTGAAACAGCGGGGTGAAATGGGCTACTAGTATAACGGCGTAACGATTTTACAAATTTGACACACTTTCGTTATCTACGTATCGGTGTTCCTTGTTTCGGAAACCGAAACATTTTGTTCATAGAAATGTATCACACTTTTATTTTTACTTTGAACGTAAAATCAAATTTTTTTAAAATAGGAGGGGTAGTTATATAAATACATGAAATTTAAATTATTTATAATTAATATTTGTTTAAATACCATTTGTGCAAATATTCAGATAAATACGCAAAAATTTTTGTCAATAAAAACGATACTATAATAAAAATTTCATGCAGATAAAATAGACCGAGTATCAAACAATAAAAAGGAAGAAATATGTCGAACTTTGCCCCAGTTGGAAAATAAACGCTAAGATAATGAAAGTTGTACCTTTCTATTATCCCAGGAAAATTAAAGGAGTTTCGCGAGCAAAGAGATTGAACGAAACGTTTACATTTCTTAATTCACGGGGTATCTTATCAATTTCGCGAACGAGGGGAGACCAAGCGAAGAAAATGGCCGCACGCGTCTCATAAGTAAATCACCAATTGCTCGGTTGATCCTACTTCGATTAACCCTGTATCAACATCTCAGAAAGCGAAAGGGAATGAACACGGAGAACGTTCGTTCAATCAACTCATCGGGATTAATAACAAGAGAGTGTTTGCTGACTGATTTTTCTAGGAGCGTTCTAGCAATTACCTGGCCGATTGCCACTTGAGCTCCCGATTATCATCGTCTTAGTTTCCGATTACTGACTGTTATAAACTCTTTGTTTTTGTTCTTTTTTTTAGTTGCAAGTAAATGTTCTTTTTTTTCAGTTGCAATTTTTGAGTATTGCAACAGATTCGTTTTTCTGGGTTCAGTGAGTGAATTTTCAAATTCCCAAATTTTTTCATTTTTATGTGTAAAGATTATATATTAAATATTGATTAACATTTAAAGCTAAAATATACAAATTTATTATTTATTGCAATGACAACTAGTCATTTTACAGTAGAAGTATTAACAAATATACAAATTTTGTTCTGTGCAGATTTTCGATTAGGTTATAGAAGAGTGAGGTTAGGTTAGACTAGAAATTAATGACGATGTGTAAAATAATTTTAAGTTAGGTTAGCGTTGAATACTGAAACATGGAACCATTCTTTTGAATTTATTAATAAGTATCGTTAAAGATAAACTATAAATTTAATTTATTACTTATTCCAATTAAAAAGTAGTCATTTTACAACAGAAATATTAACAAATTTACAAGTCTTGTTCTGTGTGGAAGTTTTTTTATCAGACACAAGTTAGAGAATAACGAAGAGTGAGGTTAGGTTAGGCCATGAATTAATGGCGATTTATAAAATAATTTTAAGTTCAATTGAATACTAAAATACAAAACTATTTTTTTTTAAATTTAACACCTAAAAATTTAAGAAGAAATAAAAGTAGAAAATACATATAATTGAATTAGAAAATAGAATATATATATAAAATAAGATACACATAAAAGTACAAATACTATTCTTTTGCCCAAAATCCCAAGATAAAAATAAATATCCCATATTTTGCATTATATCAGAAAATCGTACTATATTTCGAAATGCGAGATAACAGGCCAATAGCAGAAAGAATGTCGAAACAATTCAAACGAAAATGAAGGGTCGATTCGGTGTAAATAAGAAAGGATTAAGGAACATATTGGGGGGTCCCGAAGGAGGAAGTTGACCCAGGTGGAACGCTTCTTCCTTGCAAAGATCGGATCTCAGAGGATGGCACGAAAACAGCTTGCGTCTTGTCACTTCGTATGACTCGCGTATTAAGTTCGGTTTGAATGACAGAATCGTCATGTTTTTCCACAGGGGTGGTCCCTGTGCGTCAAAGTGTTAAAGTTTCAAAGAAGTTCTCGCCCTTGTTTGCGCACCAAATATATGGAACTACTTTTTTTGTAAAACGTATCTACATTTTTTCGGTGAGCAGCGATTTTTATAGAAATTAAACTTGCTCGAGGTCGCTTCAAGGTTATACTTGGACGTAATAAATACATGGAATAAATAGTACTAAGTAAATGGGGATGATTAAATAATATTAAAAGAATGAATTATATGCAATGAATAATTATTGCAATATTGTGATATCAAAATAAAATATTTTATGTCATACTGCATACTTTTAGAGGTATTAAATAAATTCGATTAATTAAGGAATAATTAAATGACATTACAAAAATGAATTATATGCAAACTATAATTGTTGCAATATTGTGGTATGAAAATAAAATATTCCACTCCATACTGCATACTTTTTTATTAATTATGTATTAACAGAACTTAACAAGGAATATATTAAATAGAAGTACTGAGTGATTAAAATTAAATGAAGCAAAATGGTTCTTTGAATTATATGAAAGGAAAATTAATTAAGCAGTAACTGAATGGTGAAATACGAAAATAAAATATTCTACCATGTTGCATACTTCTTTATTAATTACGTACCGATATAAGTAAGGAATACATTAAATAGCGGTACTAAATAATTAATATTGAATAATTGAGCGACTCTTTACAAGAATGAATTAGCTTCAAAGAAAAATTAATTAAACAATAATAATCGAACATTGAAGTAATAAAATATTTTACACCATATTGTACTTGATTATTACTTACCTACCGATACAATTAAATGAGAAATAAATTAAGTAATGGTACTAATTATGTTTATTCAAAGAATAATTAAATTACAAGAATTATCTTCAAAGAAAAATTATCGAACATTGAAGTCCAAAAATAAAATATTCTATGTCACTTCTTTTTCAATTACAAAATAAAATAAGAAATAGATTAAAGAACGATGAAACGATTCGATAGAAACAATGTTTACGAAAATTTCGCCCGAACGAGTCTAGTGACGTTTTATCAGTCGATGAATCTGCGAATTTCGAGTTTACTGACTGTAACGTTCAAGTTTGAATAATGAACGACGAAGGCGCGATCAGAATGATTGCTGGTCGGGCCGCCGGTAGTCGAATTATTATGATTAATTTCCTGCCGATGCGAGAATGGCCTAGTCACGATTTTACTCAGCGTTAAGATTGCTTTCCGCTCGTACCTTTAAAGTGCGCAGATGTCTAACGGCGATCGATCATTTCGTACCTCGTAATACGTATTTGAGAATCGTTAAGTGCATTCATCGTCCCCTCGGCAGAAAAGAAATAAAATATGCGCGGGCTCGTCTTTTATCGCCATTTCGTGCCAATAATTTTTCTTGTAAAAATGTTATTTAAGATTTTCTTCTGACAGTTTGATGTAGTGGAAGATTTGCAGGTTTGAGAAGTTGAAAATTTGGGTATTTTGAAATGTGAGGATTTGAGAATTTAGGAAGTTACTTTTGGTGTTTAGATGTTGAAATATTTAAGAATTTTTATACTCAAAAATACATGAGGGATTTGAGAATTTTGTTGAGTGACATAATTAATTGTTTAGTAGTTGTATAATAATCTAACCTGACCCAACCCAATTTTCTTCTACAAAACTTAGTAATTGTTTACTAAAATTGTCCAGTGACAATTAATCTTACTATGTCCCATAGAATTCACATTCACATTCTTCTGCCTCCTCGTTTCTAATTCAAGAGAAACAGTTACGATAGCCTTCACCTAATGCGCGCCATCACTTTAAATAGCACGATTTTCCGTGAAGGAAAATAACATGGACGCCTGTATAAAGTTATGATCGACGTAGAACATACGTAGGTGGATGTGGAATTTTTAAGGTCTCATAACACGGAAACGTCAGACAACATCATGCATTTCCGTTACTCACCCGGCAATATCCTGAACCCGCGTTTGCAATGCCGATTTCTCAAAGGGTTCCTCTGGGATAAAGCTGCACAGCAGTTGCATCAGGCTGCTGGCTACGATTCCATTTCCGATCGAATTACCGGATGCTTCCTGCACCTGGAGATGGTCCTCGAGTTTCGTCATACTCTACGGGCAAAAACAATTTCATTCCATTTTTTTTTCAATTTATTCCGCAAATTCACCGGGTTCCCAGAAGTGGTTTCATAAAAATTACATACGGGTATTCGGATAAAAATTGTACTTTTAGGAGTGTTCGATGGCAGGATGGCAAGATGGAGATGGCTTGAAGGTTATAAGTGGGGAGAAATTCAAAAATTTCTTATTAGAATATTTATTATTATTTTTAATGACGACTATAATGATAAAATACCAAATATTTAAATTTCTGAGTGATTATAATTTATTTTGGTTTAAAGTATACTTTATAAATAACATGTTGACTGCTGCACTAAACAGTTGAAAATAAAAATACTAACTATTATTTTTAATAAATGTACTAAACATTTTTTTAATATTTATTATACTTATCCTTCACAATTCCAATTTGATACAAATACTTTCAGTTATATTAGTAAATAAATTCTTGAACAGTATAGGTGACACATGTGGAGACTTAAGCCTCACATGTGGATGACGTAGCAGCTAAGGTGGTCAAGCTATTCTTTTCTCCATAAAATTTCAACAAAAACTTCTACTGCCACTCAGATAAATTTCTAGTAAATAAATTCTTCAACAATATAGGTGACACATGTGGAGACTTAAGCCTCATATGTGGATGACGTAGCAACTAAGGTGATCAAGCTATTCTTTTCTTCATGAAATTTCAACAAAAACTTCTACTGCCACTCAGATAAATTTCTAGTAAATAAATTCTTGAACAGTATAGGTGACACATGTGGAGGCTTAAGCCTCATATGTGGATGACGTAGCAGCTAAGGTGGTCAAGCTATTCTTTTCTTCATAAAATTTTAACAAAAACTTCTATTTTCACTCAGATAAATTTCTAGTAAATAAATTCTTCAACAATATAGGTGACACATATGGAGACTTAAGCCTCACATGTGGATGACGTAGCAGCTAAGATGATCAAGCTATTCTTTTCTTCATAAAATTTTAACAAAAACTTCTACTGCCACTCAGATAAATTTGCAATTAAATATTCTTTCGTCCAACAGAACAAAATTTTCACAAAAATACAATAATATAAAAAATCACAGAAGATCTAACACGAATCCTGTACCTAACGAAATAGTGATCTAAAATATCGCAACGAAGATTCTTAAACATCAAAGCTGCACCTGAACGAATATTCGTCAGTTTCTTTCGTAAAAAGGTCGATATCGGTTTTCTAAAAGGCTCGTGAAGCTGATTCTCCCGCAACTGTAATGTTCACTCGGGCGAACAGCTACCAGTCGGGTGGTCGCATGTTTTCAGAGCTTAAAGATCATCCGGATGCTGAAGAAGGCGAATTCCTGGCACGTTGAGTCATTGATACCAGTTTGCTTCGAGCGGACGATCAACGACACATACATATAGGTGACATTTAAAATGCTAAATTAGAGGTAACGAGTCGGAAGGTACAGATAAGAGTCCTGAGGAATATGGCCCCTAAACGGTTCAGCCTCGGCTTCAATCAGTCCTTCGGGGAACACTTAACGGCTTACCTTTCCACGTATAGATACTGGCTATTTTTTGGGAAAAAACTAGTGGAAATATTTATGGAAATTGTTTTGGGTAAATACAATAGTGTGGAGTAGAGAAATAATTGATGTTGAGGGTGTTATTATGGGTGAAATATTGGGTGTGTTTTCTAAATCTTCAAATTACCAAGTATACAAATTTCTGAATCTCTATAACTCGAATTCCGAAATTGTCAAATATTCAAATTACCTTTTCTTCAATTTGCAATGCATATATTTCTATTTTTTCAAATATGCAATTTTTCAATTCTGAAATTTCCTAATTCTACTATCCCCAATCTCTAATTCTTCAAATTTCCAAATCCTCAAATTACCAATCCCTAAATCTCCAAATCTCAAATTAACAAATCTTCAATGTCCAACTTTCCAAATTTCCATTCCTCCAAATCTCCAATTTTTAAATTCCCAAATACCCTAATTCTGCAACCCCCAAATTTCCAAATTTCCAAATCTTCAAATCCTCAAATCCTCAAATTACCAATCCCTAAATCTCCAAATTTCAAATTAACAAATCTTCAATGCACAACTTTCCAAATTTCCATTTCTCTTAATCTCCAATTTTTAAATTCCTAAATACCCTAATTCTGCTACCCCCAAATCTCCAAATCCCCAAATCCCCAAATCCCCAAATCCCCAAATTCCCAAATCCCCAATCCTCAAATCCCCAAATTACTAATTCCTAAATCCCCAAATCCTCAAATTTATAAATCCATTGAAAAATCCATGTTTTACGAACACTTCTCACTTAAAAAACTCTTTCCGCGCAGAAGGAAAATGTTGAAGGAAGTTTAATGGAAAAAATTCCCGTCTAAACGTTTAAATGTGAAGTAATGTTCTTTGCTTCGGATACTTCAGCACTCACCGAGCTTTTTAGTTGTAAGTGGAATGAAACATAAATGGTTTTACATTGAAAATCCGATTACGGATTAGGAGTTTTAAAAACGCGCTGGGAAAATGTTCATTGGAGAAAGAAAATGGAGCTTTAATGCGAATATTCGCTTTTCTATTTTTTAATTTTGTATAATTCTGGTATTTTTATAGTTTTGTTTTATGAAACTGCTCTTGTTGTTTGATAATCATTTAATCCTTGTTATATCATTTGTTGTATCACAAATTAATTAGTTTAAGCAAATTAAATTTGTAGTGTAAGAATGACAAGATTTATGATAATAAAAAAACAAAAACTCTTACGTTGTTAAAGTATAATAATATAGTTTCTAATATATCACTTGAATGAAAATAATAATAATAATAATAGATAAAATAATATAAAAACAAAAAAAAGTTCTCATCTCATTAAAACACAATAATACATTTTCTAATATATTGCTTGTTATACGACGAATTAATTAGTTTAAATAAATAAAACTTGCAGTACAACAGCACACTACAATAATAATATATTAATTTAACAATACATATACAAAATAATAATTAATAAAACACTACAATGTCCAAATACTACTAAATAAATCTACACTGTAAATCACAGTATTAAATCCTACATTCACATATTTAGATTTCTCCACGATTATACAGTAAAAACTAACACTTTACTCCTAAATATTATAAAATATTTACAGTTTGTTAATAATACGTGAAATATTTAACAAATTTTCAATACGTGAAATACAGAGTAAGAATTATTTTAAAGAACGTCCCTCAGATTAGGGCGCCATTTTCTCGTCCCTCAGATTAGGACGCCATTTTCCCGTCCCTCTTTACGACCGCTCCAACCTTGAATCATCGAATTTGTCTATGCCATTCAAGGAAGAAACAAAATCGCAAGGGGAACGATTTACGAAAAATTGTAAATTTCCCTGGCCAGATTGAAAAGCATTCGGACCCTACAGGACAATCGATCTCGTTGCGTAATGGCCCAAACCGTGATTCTTCCTGGGCTTTAATACGAGAACCTGCTAGTATATTCTTCTGAAAACTTTTTGATTACATCGGACAACTTCAACCATATAGTTTCCGACGGAATTTATGCGAATCATGCTCGATCGCTTGAGAATTCATTTGAATACGTTTCTTTATATTCGATGGGGAAGCTTCTGAACTGTGATAGTTAAATCTTCCTACTTTCAGAACAAAGTTATTTTAATGCATTGTTCAAAAATAATGTGTTGTAATAGAATATATATTTCATTATAAATATAATATAAAAAGTAACAAAGTATACATTATTCTGTAAAAATAATATGTTCTAAAGCATCAGTTTCTACCTCATCAATTAAGGTTATAAAATATGAAATTTTTTGGTTACGTATGATAGTTTGGTAACAAACTGTAATTATACTTTGACTCAACTACACCTTCGCAATTATAGGCTTGCATAGCTTTTTATCTTTAATGTGTTGTTAAAAAATAATACATTGTAACAAAGTATACATTATTTTGTGAAAATGATATGTTCTAAAGCATCAGTTTCTACCTCATCAATTAAGGTTATAAAATATGAAATTTTTAAGTTACGTATGATAGTTTGGCTACCAACTGTAATTATTCTTTAACTCAACTACACCTTCACAATTATAGGCTTGTACTGCTTTTTATCTTTAATGTGTTGTTAAAAAATAATACATTGTAACAAAGTAAACATTATTTTGTGAAAATGATATGTTCTAAAGTATCTGTGTCTACGTCATCAATTAAGGTTAGGTTAGGTTACATCAATCAAGGTTATAAAATATGTAACTCTTTTATTAAATATAATAGTAGCTACCCTCTTTATGCTTCTGTTCAATGCTTCAATCTTAAAGCTTGTCAAAAATTGAAACTTCAGATACTAATTAAAGTCCTCGAAAAGAACTCTGAAACAATATGGCCACCCACCCGCCCGAAATATAACAGTTTTAAAGTTTATATCCGAGAGGGAGGAAAAGCTCGTGGCCATAAAATACGAGGAGCAGCCGAATTCTGAAACGTGCGAAGAAGTGGTTGAAAAAGCGGCGATAGGAGAACGAGACAAAAGATTAGGCCGGGTCCTCGAAACGGAGCTTGATGGAAACGACAAAAGAAGTACCCACGCACATTCTACATGGAACACACGCTCCTTTCACCGTATAACCCGATTCCGTCGTATGTACGTGTACCGTGTACCTCCATATGTGTGTATATGTGCGTGGGTGACGTCACTAAAAGCTCTCTCGCCGCTAATGCATTTGCGGAGGGGGATTCCCAGGGGAGGAACAGGAGAAGGAAGGAAGGCGCCAGTGCTGTATCTATGAAGCGTGAAAAATCGATCTTGAAATCACGATGGTGAATTCGCGAACCGATTATAACGAAACGATTGATTCTGAACGGATTGGATTGGATGTGGACAGCTGTTTCGAAAATTATTGAATAAACGGAGAACGGGTAGAAAATCGGAGAATTTTTGCGGAAATTAGGAATAATGGACATTTTGTATAATGTGTTAGGATAAAATAGGACAATGTAATGTTTGTGTGTAATGTAAACAATTTTGCTAAGATTAGCTGTTGATGTGACAATACAAAATAAGTAGTATATGTATATTTCTAATAATGTTAACAAATGCAGCTTTGATATAGAGATATTTTTCAAGTGATATTAAAAAATGAAACTGGGAGAGATAAGCTAATTAAATGATAAAGAAGACATTTCTGAAAGGCGTCAAAAGTAAACTATTAACTGATAAAATACATGGAGACAGTAATTATATTTAAAAATTGTAAAATTTCCATTATTTATGTTCAAAGTGAAATTTTGTACATAACATAACTTTTGTAAATATTCAAACGATTAAATATTGCAATGTATTTAAATATTGTGAACAATTAAATATTGCAAACAATTTAATATTACAACGTATTTAAATATTGTAAACAATTGAATATTGTCAAAAAAAAATTGTAATTTATTTGAATATTGCAAACAATAAATATTGCACAACATTTAAATATCCTAATTAAATACTGCAAACAGTTAAATATCGCAATATATTTAAGAATTGAAAAAATTAAATATTATAATTTATGTAAGTATTATGACCAATTAAATATTGTAAATAAAATCGTTTAAATATTGCAAAATAATGATATTAATGTGGTTAATAATAACGATAGTAATGCGCTAAGAATTGAAACGTAAACGTTAATGAAATCAAGATATTTTCATAAATGCGTTAAGGAATTCTGTAGAAATTCAAAATTTATCCATACACATCAGTGAGAACACGTGAGTTTCTCAACCACTGTTCTCTACTTTCAACTTCGCTCTCCCCTTTTGCACTTCACTTATCCATTAGAGCTGTACCACTGTAGCATTTTCTCTATCGACTAAAAGAATCGATAACCATCAGAAGTTTCAGAATTGCGACACCTATACTCGTTCAACAACGAAAGAAGTACAGAAAGATAATGCTCGTGCTCATTAATAATTTCAATTATAAAAAAACTTACATTAATAATTAGAATCTTTCCAAAACTTAGTTTAAAATTTTAATTTAAAAACTTAGTTTCCGCACATAGGTTATAATGCATATTTTCGAGTACGAATATTTCTGTATTTATTCCGAAAATAAAGTAAAATTATAAATTATAAAGTGAAATAATTTTTAGAAATAATGTAACTTCATAATTTTGTAAAAATAATATCACTTTTTAATTTTTTAATTTTCTATAATAAATAATAAATAGTAAATTATAACAATAATAAATAATTACTTCCAATAATTTTATTCCGCCATTTTGGATTTTTTTCTTGTACACAGAACTCCCCTAAATTATTGTATCATAAATCCTGCCCTCTGTAAATTATCCCACACAACATATTCACAATTATAAAAAATGATCTGTTCATTAAATTTAATTTTGTCTTGCAATATAATCTATATTGCATAATTTATTTTATAAAATTACGACTTTACGAATCGTAAAATCATTTTGAAACGGTGTTCGCAAAATGTAACGCGATATTTTCAATTTTACCTAGAAATATACACAAGAGTTTGTACCTTAATATTTACAGTCGAAATTCTTTTATAGAGTAAGAGAGTTAAATATTCGAAGTCGGCCTCCGAAGCAGAAGACGAGAGGCGAAAGCCGACCCTAAAACTCTTAATCCTTATTTTGACAAGTCCGACAGGACAGGCATGATGGTCTTTGCCTTGGTTTATTTACCAACCTCGAAATGAGCGGGACAAAAAGAGCATAACGAAAAGGAATCCACTCGCGAATCGCTGCTGGCTGAATTCCACGTTTATTGAATGTTTGCGACAGATTAACGATTACGTTTGAGGACACTTTTCGCTTGATAATAAAATCAGATCTCATTGTTATAAATGACACCTCCATCCGATAATGTAAATGATAATTGAGATAAGATAAGTAACTTTTATATTAAATTGAATTCTTAAATATTGTGATTGATTTGAAAAATTAAAAAGAAATTAATATTTTTGATAACCTAAAACATAATTATGTGCAATTGAAACAAAATAAACAAAAGGTCAAGATGTTCTTACTAACCAAAATATTTATTCTTTTTGGGTTGAGATAAAAAATATTTGTATGACTTATTATTTAACATCAACTTCTGAGGTTTTTACTACTAGGTTGTGAATAAGGTTCTGTATGGCATTCTCTTCTTTTTTTATAATAATTAATTTTAGTAAAACATAATGGTTATAGCAAACTATATTTAGTTGCAAAAGATAATTGTTATCTACAGTACTATTTTAAAATTAACTATAATACATCTGTCATCTACAGTGCATAACAATTGAGTATTGTGTAATACAGAACAATTGTGTATTGTCCATTACACATAACAATGAAGTATTATGTTATATAAAATTATTATCTATTATAAATTACAATTTTCATGTGCATTTTTGCCAATGTCAATAACCGTAATACATATTATTGTATATAATACATATTAATTATATTAACATCATAAATTAAACAACATAAAAAAATATTAACATAAATTAATATTTGATAAATTAAAAAAACTGCATAATGTATTTTATATGATGTAGCATTTTTATAACACAATGCAATAGGCTAACTTTTAATTGACATTTTTGTTGTTAAAGCTGAGGGGAAAGAAATCTTTCAAACAAAGGAAAGAATCACCTCTCAACGAGGAAACGACGAGATGATACACGAATAGCCCACCTTTCAACATGAAATAAACAGCAGCGTAAAAAAGGGTAGGACATAACCAGATGGAAAAAGGCGCCGACATCTCTTAAAATGCTTCTACTATTAACTAGACAGAAGTTTAATAGTTGCACGCCCAATGCTTTCAGCGGTGAGAAAAATATACTTTACGAACGTAAACATGTGCACGCGTTAAAACCGTACCGTGAAAGAAACAATATTTGGTTGCTGTATAAGTTCTGTCCGCCATTTCGTTTAAAATTTAAACAGTTACACTAGTACCATTTTTAAAAAACTTTCTAGAGTATGTTCCCCGATATTTTTTCATGAAAAAACATTTTCAAATTGTTACTGGAATTATCTGGGACATTCTATAAAAACCTGTTGAAAATTATGGAAAGCAACAAAAAATTTATTATTTACAATATGTTACATTTTAAACACTGACATAAAAACTAACATAAATATTATTTTATAAATTTGAAATTTATCATATAAATCTCTTATAAAAAAAGAAAAATCTTTATTCAGTGATAGATGTGCAGAGTTTTATAAAAAAAGGTATAATGCACTTCACAAAAATGAAAAGCTATTATAAATAATAATAGAAAGCGCATCATTTGGGCAGAACTTATGCAAGAACCTAATAATTAATGAAAGAAGGAAACATACCTCTAAATGTTGAAGTAGAAGATCCAAAATGACCATGATTTTATTGCTGGATAAAATTTCTTCTATATTAGTGTCATTCTCGTTGACGCTAAGTTTATACACGCGACACACTGAAAGTATGCTCCTAAAACATAAAAAATATTTCCTTGAATTACAAAATTATTATGCATCAAATTATCAAACATTTTCTTCCCAATGACATATTTAATAACAGTGAATACTTAGCAAAATATTAATTCTTCTATATTATTATTTTAATAAGTATATATATACTGAAGTATAGAAACAAAAATATACAAATATAAAACTATATATACTTACTTATTTGGTAAAATATGGGAAACATTTTGTGCTTGCAATCCCAAATTCAGCAGATTTGTTAAAACATCGAATCCATTCAACACACGGAAGGCATTCTGATCAAATGGACACTGAAACATTAAAGAAAAAAATGTTTAAATATATAAATTGTTCCAATAAAAAATAAAGGGTTAGTATTATCTTTCTTAACACAAAATTACTTACCGATTTAGAGAAAGCTCTTGTTATTTCACCCAAACAACGTTCTAAGGCAGAAATAGCAACGCTTGACCACGCAGTTTTAGAATGATTGTTATACAACCGATCTAATTCTTTCAAATTTCGACGAAACTTTGCTTTGTTAGTTGACTCGACAGATTGATTTACGTCTGTCTTATGAGTATCTTCCCACTCTTTGCCGCGTAGAATCATACGTTGTTTCATTTTCCTACATCGGCGTTTCAAAGCCTTTTGTTTCTCTTTCGCGGCTTTGACTTCGTTCGAATTATTATTATCGATCACAGAGGTCGGTAAATCATGAATCTGCAATATATTGAAACGTTGTAATTCGTCTCGAGACGGTTCGCGACCGTCATGAGCATTCTTCACTGCTTCAAAATGTGTTTTCCCTTTTAAATGACTTAATAGATACACTTCATTGGAAATCTGTAATAAACATATACTTTATGAATATTGACAGTTAATTAAATTATTAGACATCATTGAATGTACAGCTTTCTGGAAGCTCCTTTTAAAAATATGAAGTTGGTAGTATACCTAACCTAACAATGAATTTGTTTTTTCTGCTTTTACATAGCAGGTTAGATATACTACCTAACCTAACCTCTCATGTTTTCAAGAGATTCTCCAAGAGCTGTACAATACCTAATTAAATTCTATCAATGCTTACAATTGTCCCGCACAAGGAACACTGCTTCTGAGCAGGGTACGATTTAAGCATAGGTGGAACTTCTTCCGACCTTAAAATCGAGGATTCAACTGCTCTTTGCCTAATATGTTCTATATTTTCAACGTGTCGTCTGGCCGACTCTTGTTGCTTTTGTGCTATCTTCTTTTGTAGTTCTTCTTGATTTGCTAACTGAGCTGCATGAAGGGCTGATAATCGTTCTTCTCGATCCCTTGCTTTTTCTCTAGCAATCTCCTACAAGTTAACAATCCTGATATTAATACTTTGATTTAATATGGTTATTAATTAGAAGTAGTCTTACTATATGGTCCTCGGCAAGGTTGTAGGCAAATTTCTGATTACCTGTCGTTCTTTTTCTCTTTCCAGTTGCATTTTACCAACTCGTTCTTCGCGTTCGCGACGAGCCTGCTTCATTTTTTGAATACGCAACTGCCTTTCCGCTTCTAAAGCTCGTCTACGTTCTTCAGCCGCAGCTTCTTTAGCAGCTTTCTCCTCTTGTCGACGCTGACGTTCTTCTTGAATTCCCTATAATACCAATAATTAAGATCCAGAAAGATAGAAAATGTTAAGAGCTGTAACTTCCTATAATTTCTTTTCCTAATAGAATAGAAATGGTTGTAACGTACTTGTAATCTCTCTTCTTGCTCTTGACATAACGCCATAAAATCGTGTCTTTTATTCTGTGCTTCAAGTTCATTAATAAATGCAATCTCTTTCAATTTCGAATCTTCGTCATGAGCCTTTCTTACTATTTCTAATAAATGCTGCGTTCTATTTTCTTCTGCCTTCTTCAACTTCATCTCCATTCTGATTCTCTTGTCTTCTATTAATTGGTTCTTCGCGCTTTTAACATCTTTTACCTTGTTCAATAATTCCCGTAACCTCTGCGACTTCTCCATTAAAAGCTTCTGACGTTTATGTTGTGCACAAGCTTGTTTCGCGTGGTACCTTCTTAACGTTTCCGGTAATGATCTTTTGCGCGATGGAGATGAAAGCTTTTGGTGCAATTCTAAAGCTCTGCCAGGATGACGAGCCACCAATGCACGTAACTGAGCAATTGTATCCACGCAATCTGCCCAGGACATTCCATCCAACACGTGGTCATATCTATAAAAAATTTATTTCAAGTATACAGAAAAATAAAATAAAAGAAATACAAATATGATACATACCTATCTTCTATGCTGACATCATCAGGTATTGCATTAGGGGATGATCCTCGATCGTCTTCCATTTCGAGAATCATCTCGCCATCTGTTTCGTCGGTTTCTGTATCAACATCGGTTTCAGTACATTCTAACTCCAAAATCTGTCTATGCAAAGATGCTTCTTCATCTGACAACTGTTGCGACCGCTGCGAATCAGCTTCTTCAGTCTTTCTTTCCTCTTCCAAAATAATTCTTTCCCTTTCTGCCTGAGCAGCCATAAATTGTTGTATACGTTTTTCGAGTAACTCTGCATCACTTTTAAAAATAGCTGCTATCATTGATGTAGAATTGATTTCCTTTAAATTATTAGTGTTCTTGAAAACTTCTTCTACCTTATCCTTAATGGTAATATTTACAACTGATTCTCCTTTCACCTTTTCTACCTCATTACTTATATTTTTCCCTTCTTTCCCAACAATGCACTTCTTTTTCTGTTTGTTATTCCCATCTGGGGTCAAACAATTTTTCTTGTTCTTTTCTGAGGGACTTTCAATTGACAAAGCTGGTAATGATGTAGCAGTACTTGGTTTATGGAATCTGGTGGACATATTTAAATTGTGAGTACTACCTCTTCTGTAACGACTACGAACCGTTTGCCAACCATCGGTTTCTTCCTTGGCTTTGACAACAGTGGGTTGCTTCGTTAATACTTCTACAGAACCATTTAGATCTTTATTCTGATCTTTCTTTAATAAACTTTGTTCTGAAATCTAATAAGAAAGGCAAATAAGTAAAAATATTACAGTTCCGATTCATGTTAATAGAGTGAAAGATGAGAATACCTTGTTATCAAGTGGTTGAAACCGTTGTCGAACTATGACAGATGTTCCAGGTCTTATTTTATTTGAAGTTGACACGTTTTTTTCACTCAATGTAGTTTTACTTCTAATAAATTTTGGAGTTTCTGGAAGATTTGATTGTTTTGGTTTTACAATCTTCATCTGTGACACTGTAGAATATGCTGGTTTATTTACATTGACTGAACCTTTATTCAAACTACTGGATGATGTGTCAGATAAAGGTTTTGTTACATTTTTATTGTTTGTGCTGTCATTAATACTTGGCTGCCTTTTGAATTTCTGATTAACTTTGTTAGAAGCTTTTGTAATATTTTGTGTATTCTTAAGCACTACAATAGCACTACTATTATCTTTTGCTATGTTGATAGGATCAGCTATTTTGTTCTCTGTCACTACATTTTCTATACCGACAGATTTAATATTCTTTCCCATGCTTTGTTTTCTTACTTTAGCATTAATTTCATTTTTTCCTAGCCCTAAATCATTCTTGGGACCTAAAGGCTTAACTTGGAAATTATTTTGAGAATTCAATTTATTATCTATGTTATTAGATTTACAATGTTCTTTTTCTCCTGATGTAGAAGTATTTAATTGAGCGTTTTTATCATTGTGAATAATTTGTTCATTCTTTTCCATGATTACATTAGAATCTGTTATTTTGGTGGTACTCTGAACTTCAGTTTTAACAAGTTTTGATGTACTTTTAATATCTATTTTATTTTTTACATCTCGAGGGGAAACTTCATTTGATTTCTGATCTATTGTAGTATTGGTGCCAGTTTTTGCAGGCACTGTATGTTTTACAAGACCTTTGTTAATTTTTACTGAAGTCAGCTTATCTTTATTCAACGACTGATTTATTCCCTTATCCATTGAACTTTTACATCTTTCATTTATGTTTGATAAATTATTTTTAGGAATATTGTTTTTGTTATCTTTCATCAATTTATGAACTGTCTCTCCTTTTATCTGATTAATTTTGTTATCTAAAGTGATAGGTTTATTTTCTGAAATAATTTGATCAACAGGACTTCGACAAAGCGATTCTGTGGGACTCATTCTTTGTAAAGGACTAGAAGATTTTGGAATCATTGTTGAATTCCAAATACGACAAGGAGATGTTTTTCTAACTTCCCAAGCTAATGGAGTACGTCTCAATGGTGGTGGTGAATTCTCATATGCCCATTTGACTTTAAACCATTCAATCAGATTATGAAAATCTCTTGTATAATTTTCTAAAACAAGTATTACTTCTTTGCATTCGGAAATATTTTCATCTTCTTCACAAGTCTGATAAATACCATCGACTGCTCTTTGTAAATTGCCAAATAAAAAAGCCCAATATCTTGCCTGTAATTCTAGAATTAGAAAACAAATATATAAAAAACAGCTCTGTATTACATTTATACAATTTCCAAATTTAAGAAACAATAATAACTGACAGAAATAAAAAATATCAAAAGAACCTTTTCATCAAAACTATAACATACCAGATTTTTTGTCTCGACCAGTAGAAGCTGATCGTACTCTAGAAGTTGGTTTCATTGACCTTTTAGTTGTATTTACGTGTGATACTCTTGGAACACTAGGAGGTTTTTTAGTAACTTTTTCTGTATTATTTGTTCCAACTGGTACATTAAAGGCTATCAAATTTCTAGCTGCCCGACCTTCTTCTTGTATCAATAACCTTACATCAGCCATTTTCAATAAGTTGCTATAAAAAGAAATAATAATTAAATAACATTTTCTTATTTTCTTGTTTAATATACAAAAACAGTGTAATATGAAATGATGGAAAGGTAATACAATGCATAAAACATCAAAAATTAAATTCTAATGAATCATTGTTTTCATAAGAGAAATAACAAGCATTTGTTTATCCTACATACTAAAATAAAAAGTTAAAATCATAGTAAGTTTACAAAGGTAAATATAATAAACAATTGACATTATTTAATCATTTTATACCAAATTTAAAATGAAATGTTTAATTAAAACCATGAGGTTATAGTACTGTCATCTACATTTTAAATACCACAAAATAAAAGACACTAAATATCTGTTTAAATAAATAAACAATAATATATTAATAATCTCACTATCAATTAGTTACAATATAATCAATAAATATATTTGTTTACACAGTCAATTTATGTCATCATTCTATAAAATCCAAGTAATAATGGTATCTGCATATTTAATACAGAAATTACCTTTAGCGTAATAACAATTACAAAATATTAAAGAATGATTGACTACAAATTGTTTTCAAATAGCGAGAACTTCGAACTGTCATTTCAATAGTAATACAAAACATTTTATGCTTCTTGTAAGTTACATAGCAGTTTGTTGGTTGCCCTGATAAGCCTAGGCTATATTGTTAGAGTAACTAGTAGAATATACTAGCTCTAGTATATTACTGCGGTGGAAGAAGGTTAGTAATAGAGTTACTAACCCAATCATTTTCTTTAGTATAGTAAGGGATTTAATTTTTTCTGTACTCTATCGCTATCAAGGTTTATATTCATTGATATAAAGTATAAGCTAATAGAGTAACTAAGAGAGAAAAATAGTATCTTCTTTCATTGATGAATTCTCTATATACTTTGAATATTGACATATTTCAGTTTTCTCCAAACTATGTAATGAATTCTAGTATTTTATTTATATACAAAATATTTGTTCAGGGGTTTATTTATTATCCTGCATTTTGTACTCATAGCATATCCCGTTATCCATCTTTGAATAGAGCATGTCTAAACAATAGTGACTGGTGAATCTTCGTACTGCGCTAGATGCTTTATCAGATATTCAATGGAAACTAGGCTTTACTTTACCAATAAAGGTTACAAATATATGTATAACATTACCGCATTAGAAAATATAAGTATAGTTTCAAATTGTACCTAAAAGCAATATTAACTAACAATTTTTCTTTTTGATTAAAGCTGTTTACATAAATGAATCATTTTACTTTTCCTTTATGAATCACGTTAATGAGTTTGATAACCGTAAATACTTCGTATGTATTTTAGCAATATACTCTTATTGCAAGTATTTTTCGCAGTATTTGAAAGATAAGATGAACAATTATCTTCTTTCAGCTAATCATGTAAGAATAGCTGTGGAGAAAAAAACAAAGAAAAATGTATCTTACAATAACAATAGTTTATTTTTCATACACTTTTTGTGTACCAAATCATTCAATGCATTTGCAAATCATTCGATCATCTATATGTAAAAAATATTGAAATGAAAACTATAGTCACGATGAAATTACATAAATCAGACTTATTGTACATATAAGAATTCTTCGATTTTATAGGTTGCATATGAAGTAATTAAATTTAAAAACCGTCATATAGTTCAAATGCCAACGATAACCAACATTTCTCCGAGAAATTGTTAAATTGGTTTACGCAGTGAATTCGCGTGCAGCGCCATCAACGCGTGATAAGATGAATCGTGAGAAGCGGTTGCGAGGGCTGTAATACACATTTATGTGTGGAAATTTAATTAACGCTTCGCCGTAGTACCTCTTTGGGGTTGCACCATAGATCCCAGACAGATTTTTGAAATCGGCTGTAAAGCCGATCACCACGGTACGCAGAAGTGCTACGAAAATAAAATTAAAAATCAATTTCGAGGTTTCTAGAAGAAAAAGCCATCCGAAAGGCGGAAGATCTGCCAGACTTTGCGGGCCGACGCGGGGATATTTTCAGATAATCGTACGTATTTTATAGTTGAACGTAAACTAGTTATATTTCTAACGTTCTTGTACGATCAGGATACTTTGCACGGTTTAGTTTTGTACAGTACGTGACCTGGTGCATGTATTCTTTGTTTACGCGTATGCAGAGGTTTCCAACAGCTTTGGAGGTTGGCCGTGATACTGGGGAGAAAAATGGGAATGTTAACATACCGTTTGTTCTCTGAACGATTTGTTTAATTTCACTAGTGATCAAAAGCGTTATAAAAATTTGTATCGAACCTTTTGTTGGTTGTGTGTGATGGTAGAAATATTTATTTCGCTGATACATGTAGCGTGACAAACTGTCATTTAGCGGTGAACCATTAAAATTATGAAAGGAATTTGTAATTTCAACGTTTTAGGAGTTCTTACAGTGTATATTATGTCTGTAAAAATAAAAGAAATCATTCTTTGATAACCTACATTTTCGTATGTTGGTTATTTGTAAATTGTATTGTCTTGTACGTCTCTTCATATGTAATTAATATTTTATGATAAATTTACTGACAGTAATATGTTAATTTTGTATTTATCATTAGATTTTGTTGAGATCTTTATGTAATGTGTTTGATATATTAACTCTATAATGGTATAAGTTTTGGGTGTAATCATTAACAGTATAGTGAGGAACAAGTAACCTACATAACTTTTTCTAAATTTCTTTCTTTTTTAATCTGTTACTTTATACCTTAGATAATAAGGAAAAGATCAATGTATACAATTTTTAAAGTTGATGGATTTATGACAGATAAGAGTACTTTCGATACTATTAAAGCTGCAAAGTTCGTAAAGAAAACGTTAGTTGAAGTTACGTTAGGATAACGGGTTTCTTTGGAATACTGTTGTAGGGATAGAAATAATCTTATGTAGTAAGGTACACGGTAAAATAGATTATTGAAGATATTATAAATAGTTTTCTAATAACATTCTTCCATTTGCTATTTTACATCATCATTGCATTTTTATTGATATTTAGTGCCATTAAAATCATATCTTTATCTTAATTATTTAATTAAAATAAATTTGTGATGTAAGCCATCAATGACTATAGTCATGAATGTGTGTATGTAAAACTTCATTATTATGAGCGAATTACAGATGTTTATGCATTTATGTTATATCGAAATAGTGTACATGTAAATGTAAGGTAAAAAGATCTACAGCCAATGTATATGGTCATTATACGATTTACATATATTTTTCAGATTTTGTTACGTTATAAATGCATAAAAATCTGCAGTCTAATTAGCAGTTTATATTATTTGTTTGCTATCACATTGGTTTTAACCCTTTGAGTGGCATTGCAGTATTATCGTATATGTATGATCAGATTGTGTTTTGTCTAATTTTTCATCAACATATTTTTAAGTTATAAATACGCAGCATCATATCTAAGAAATCGAAGCGCAAAGTTTGTAGCTCTTTAATTAAAATAAAAATAGTTTACAAACATAAACAATTTGGTATAATGTTTCCATATCTTATTATTTGTGTCTAACTCATTGCATCATTATGGTTTTTAAATGAAAAATTAATCAAAAGATGTATGGATTATTTTTTTTAGGGGAGTTTCAGAAAATATGGCTGCGCTACCACGGAGGATTATCAAAGAAACACAAAGATTAATGCAAGAACCAGTTCCTGGTATAAGTGCTGTGCCAGATGATACAAATGCTAGGTATTTTCACGTAATTGTAACTGGACCTGAAGATTCACCATTCGAAGGTGGACTTTTTAAACTTGAGTTGTTCCTACCTGAAGACTATCCAATGTCTGCTCCTAAAGTTAGATTCATTACAAAAATTTATCATCCAAATATAGACAGGTGATATACACATTTACATATATTATTTCTTATAAATTTGTTAAATTATTTGCATTTAAATGTTATATTATTTAATATTATTTATGAAATAATTTTTAATGTGAAGTATATCCAAAGCTTAAATTTAATTGATGTATAATACGTTTATTTTATTTGTATGACATAAATTGTTTCTTACATAGATTGGGCAGGATTTGCTTGGATATTCTCAAAGATAAGTGGAGTCCTGCTCTCCAAATCAGAACAGTTTTATTGTCAATACAAGCGCTTTTGAGTGCACCAAACCCAGATGATCCTCTGGCAAATGACGTAGCTGAACTTTGGAAAGTAAATGAAAGTGAAGCAATACGTAATGCCAAAGAGTGGACTCGAAGATATGCTATGGACAACTGATCTCAGATCATCCATGATGAAAAGTGACGTTACCCCTATCTTTCCGAGTTTACCGATCACTTTACCCGCACCAGCTGCGTACCCTGCACCTGTGTCCACAATTTTGCTATAAAAATAATAAAAGTTTTGTAAGAGTAAACAGAATGAAACTGTATTTTCTATATTGCGGGGAATACAAAGATGTCGTGTTTAGATTTCTTCAACGATTTATCGAGCAGATTTGTAAAGAATCTTCTGATATTGAGAAATATCAATTGTAAGAAGATTTCCTTTTCAGCAAGAAGGTATAATTTTAATGGATTACTAGTTTTTACTTAAAAAAAAACATACCTTTGTAGTAAAAGTAAGTGAATGTAGTATATTGCGTAAACGTTTCTTTCTTTTTTTTATATATGATTACAGAATGGCTTGTGCAATCAGTAACTTATAACCTTTATTTCGGTACCTTTAATGTATCCCTAAAGACAGAAATAGTACCGGGTGGTTCATTATATTATACTAATATGATTATATTTTCTGTATTTCATAATGTCTACTAACTGGTTGTCTGATAATCTTTAGGTATTTATGATTTACGCTAGCATACCGTGTTTGAAGAAAAATATGATATTTGAGATCGTGATGGCATTTATTTATAATTAATCATTCTAATTAGTGTGCGTATTGAAGTATTGATACCATTCGCAAATGTAATGTTCCATTTTTAAGATGTATAGTTATTGTAATATCATTTATATATTGCAGGACTTTATTTATTAGCATATTGTAAGATAAAACGTGCTTCTCATTCATAGGAAATTCCAGTTGTTTCTTGATCACAACGCAAACCATTTTACTCATGATTATGTTAATTTACGTTTTTATTATGTAAATACATACAGCTGAGAAAAATGTTTCCTATCTACTACTTTTATTTTTTGTTATTTTTTTTCTAATATAAAATTCATCCGGGAAAATATTTTTTTGTGTAATTTGTAACATTTTCTGCAGATTGAAAAATTCTTGACCGTGTACTTATATGTCTTGGAAAAAATTAAAAGCGAATAAATATATGTTTCCTAAAAACATATATATTTAAATATTTCTTTTTAACTATTGTTTTCTTTTAGTATTTAAAATAGATTTAATAAATAAAATTATGCAGGAAAGAAAACTGACAGTACAATTTATGAATTCATTCATGCTACATCCTAAAAGCGTTGAACTTGATGTATCTGTAAAACATGTTTAATTATTAGAAAATGATTTATGTAATATATTTCTTTACAGAAAAAATGTACAACATAAATAATTACAAATTATTGAAAAATAGAATTTAATATCTAGCAAATTAGGTGTAGAAATTCTGTTACAATGTTAGTTTCATGTATTTATAAATTTTATTAGCATGAACTTTTCTCCATGGTACAAATTGCACAGTTTTAAAAATACTATTCATCTGTATTGATAGTAAAGCTTTTTATACTCCTTGTTTTGATGATTCATCGACACTTTTATTAAAGAATTCGAACAACCAGTTGGTATGTTTGTGAATCTAAAGCTTGTATTTGTATATTTTAATGGAAACAACAATAAATAATGAAGCATAGATTATAAAAGGACACTGGGATCGGTTACGCAAAAAAAAGAGGGAAAAAAATATCTGTAGATAATTTGCAATAATAAAAATATTATTATAAATGTGTTATAAAGCAATATTAAAATGCCAATGTATTGCTGCCAATTATTAAACATGTAATTATTTTGAGGATATACAAAAGTGTAGGCTAGTTAGATATAAATACGTATAAAATTTAGCCGAAATTTTCTATTGAAAAGGAAAAGGTACAAGCAATAAGCTTTCCTCGAATTTAAAAGTATATACAGTTTTCAAATATATTTTGACAAAGTTCAGATGGTTAAGCACTTTTATTGTTAAAAAGTTCGAGTAAAAGTGAATTTTTTCATTAGAAGGGCACAGAATTGTTCGTCATTGATATTTTAACTTCAATGATTTGAATCCCGAAATAAATAGATTTCCCAAAAAAAGTTGTTCTTAGCGTCCAAAAAGAATCCACTTTTCAAGAAAATTACTCGATGAATCAAACTGACAAACATGTAATGAAAAACAATAGCTACAATTTGTATGTTTTAAATTAAGATTCGTTACTCAATGAAAAAGGAAATTAAAGTTGGTTGCATTTAATAACTTGTTCTAAATCCGATACAACATTTAGTTAACAAATTTTACTGTAATATTTATTTCCTACAACTTTTATTTATTTTATACGAAGGATATTTGCGTTAAATTATGTTTGAAAGATTGTTTTAAAAAACATAAGAATCTTCCATAACTTGTTTGAAAAACTTGTGTGATAAATACTGCAAAATAGATGCCACAATTATTGAATTAGATTCAAAATTTTACTTTACATTCCTTTTGCCAATATTTGTTAAGGTGTGATGTTACATATGTATATTTATTCCCGTTACCTCTGATGGTAAATAGAATCTCCTGGGTAAAAGTTTCGTGTAATTTACAGTAAGTTCTATGCAAACTTTATTGAATGTGGAAAGGTAAATAAAGTAGAGAATAAAGTAAACAAACGTGTTAGTTCTTCAACGATTTTAGCTGCGTTTTACGAAAAATCATTTGATTGCTAACGGACGGTATTTTATTGACGATCATCGACAACCACACTTCCGTTCTTACCAGTTCTCGGAAACGCGTTCAATTTTTCATTCAAAAATATTTCATTTCTATGAAAATATTTGAAATTCATTATTTCATTACATTTTAATTTACACAGTTCACTGTTCACACAAGACATTCTATAAAATTCATCAAATAATCGCAATTTCAAATTGCAATATTTTCCATAATTAAACACAGAAGAACGAATATGAAAAGTTTATTTAATATTCTACTTTTTAGTAGAATACTTATTTATTATTATTTATTTAATATTCGACTATTTCATTCATGCTTTGGTTAATTATTTCCGTTGACAGCATATCAACTTTTAATTAATACAAATTACTCACCCAGGAATTTAATAATAATTAAAAGTACATTTTTTGTTTGACAGGCAAGTTCCGACTCCTGTTACGGAGCCAGTTTCTAATGGTGACCATAGAGAGAGCTTCTGAGGCCAGCTTGGTGTTTTCTCCCTTGCAGGTATCATTTAGATAATGTTTTCTTTTTTCTCCATGTATAATTCCAGAAGAGGACTGCAGTATTTCTATTAAAGTTTCGCTAATTATCAGTACTTGGAGCAGTTTAAGAATATATGTCGACTTACGCATGTGCTGGAGGTTTCTGGGTGCACCTCCTGCTCTCCTGACCACTTCTGGCTTTTTACTGTTAAAGTAGTAACTACAGAAATTTCTTATGGTAAAAATGGTAAAATTTATATGAAGGAATATAGTTATTCAATATGATTTTTTGGGGGTTAGACTTTTAGTTGTGATTGGGTACTGTATAAAATAGATTTTGAAATATTGGGAATGGGTCAGTTGGAAATGTAAGAGCTGGATTTGGGGATTTGAGAAATTATAGATGTGGGAATGTAGAAATTTGAGAGGTGGAGATTTGGAAATTTAAGGGTTGATTTAGAAATGCAGGAATTTGAGAATTGGAAATTTGAGAGTTTGGAAATTTAGAAATGCAGGAATTTGAGAATTGGAAATTTGGGAACTTGGAAATTTAAGGGTTGGAAATTAAGAAATACATAAATTTCAGAATTGGAGATTTGGGAGTTTGAGAATTTTAGGGTTGGAGATTTAGAAATGTAGGAATTTGAAATATGGAAATTTAGGAGCTTGGAAATTTAAGGGTTGGAGATTTAGAAATGCAGGAATTTGAAATTTGGAAATTTGAGAGTTTGAAAATTTAAGAGTTGGAAATTTAGAAATATGTAAATTTCAGAATTGGAAATTTGGGAGTTTGGGAATTTAAGGGTTGGAAATTTAGAAATATGTAAATTTCAGAATTGGAAATTTGGGAGTTTGGGAATTTAAGGGTTGGAAATTTAGAAATATGTAAATTTCAGAATTGGAAATTTGGGAGTTTGGGAATTTAAGGGTTGGAAATTTAGAAATATGTAAATTTCAGAATTGGAAATTTGGGAGTTTGGGAATTTAAGGGTTGGAAATTTAGAAATATGTAAATTTCAGAATTGGAAATTTGGGAGTTTGGGAATTTAAGGGTTGGAAATTTAGAAATATGTAAATTTCAGAATTGGAAATTTGGGAGTTTGGGAATTTAAGGGTTGGAAATTTAGAAATATGTAATTGGAAATTTGAGAGTTTGAAATTTCAGAATTGGAGATTTGGGAGTTTGAGAATTTTAGGGTTGGAGATTTAGAAATGTAGGAATTTGAAATATGGAAATTTAGGAGCTTGGAAATTTAAGGGTTGGAGATTTAGAAATACAGGAATTTGAAATATGGAAATTTAGGAGCTTGGAAATTTAAGGGTTGGAGATTTAGAAATACAGGAATTTGAAATATGGAAATTTAGGAGCTTGGAAATTTAAGGGTTGGAGATTTAGAAATACAGGAATTTGAAATATGGAAATTTAGGAGCTTGGAAATTTAAGGGTTGGAGATTTAGAAATACAGGAATTTGAAATATGGAAATTTAGGAGCTTGGAAATTTAAGGGTTGGAGATTTAGAAATACAGGAATTTGAAATATGGAAATTTAGGAGCTTGGAAATTTAAGGGTTGGAGATTTAGAAATACAGGAATTTGAAATATGGAAATTTAGGAGCTTGGAAATTTAAGGGTTGGAGATTTAGAAATACAGGAATTTGAAATATGGAAATTTAGGAGCTTGGAAATTTAAGGGTTGGAGATTTAGAATAATGTAAATTTCAGAATTAGAGATTTGGCAGTGTGCAAATTTGAGAATTGGATGTTTAAAAATTTGGGAATTCAGTCATTTAAAAATTATAAAATTGATCTGTTAATATGAGTACTTAAATATTTGGAAATATGGAAATTTACAAATTTGAGAATTGTAGATTTAGTGGACTTAAGAATCTGAAAGTTCATAAATTTATCAGTTGAATATTTGCAAATAGAATTTGAGAATTTAGCAATTCAGGATTTTAAAATTCACCAAAGAGTTAAATCCCCAATTGTAAATAAAATAAAATAACAATTGTATTTAATCATTGGAAATTGAATACAAAAGACTGAGAACTAATGTTAAAATTAAGTCAATTCCATCTTCAGCATATACCAACAAAAACACAGCAAAACTGAATTCATTAAAAGCTACCAAAACAAAGCTAACTTCATTAAAAGTTACCAAAACAAAACTAAATTTATTAAAAGTTACCAAAACAAAACAAAATTTATTAAAAGCTACCAAAACAAAGCTGGGTTCATTAAAAGTTACCGAAACAAAACAAAATTGATTAAAAGTCAATAAAATTGACTAATTAAATAAGCATAAAAAATAAAAACATATTTAATGATTTTACCACAATTAATTCTTAAGATCAGAATTAAAGAATGAAGAGTTGTCAACAAGGGCGATTAAAATGGCTTGCAGCTTAATCAAATCGTCCTGCAAGTTTCTCAGAGGTAACGTGGCCGTACTCATGAGAATTCGAACGTGGTACGACTACATCAGCCGTCCATGAATCGCAATCCACGGCATTTCACAATTTACTTAATAGCACGACCCCAGAATTCTGATAGCCATTATCATCCTGCGTGGCGGCCTTGTTATTCACCTCGTAGCGCACGTTGAGTGCTCAATGTATCTGCACGATAATTAGAAACTACGTTAATGCCCTGTATAATGTTATCCAGGCGATCTACTAACTCAAAAGCATTTGAGGATACGCTTATCCCCGCAGACTTTACGCGATACGCAAAACAAAAAAAATATGCAACTAATTCTTTAATTGAACTTGATTGAGGAATACGTTGTGGAAACTTCATAATTAATAATTTTATGGATATTGGTTTTTTAATTATAAATCGATTGATAATCGATCAGAAATCTATCAATAATTATTTATAAATTGATTGATATTTGATGAAAGATTAAATCAGAATTATTGATAAATTAATGGATGTTTGATAGAAAAGTAATCAATAATTATTCATAAATTCACTGATGTTTGATAACAAAATTTATCAATAATTATTGATATATTCATTGATATTTGATAGAAAATTAATCAATAATTCTTGATAAATTCATTGATATCTTATAGAAAATTAATCAATAATTACTGATAAATGTATTGATATTTGATAACACAATTAATGAGAAGTTATTGATAAATTCACTGATATTTGTTAAAAAAATTCATCGATAATTATTGATAAATTTATTGATATTTGATAACAAAATTTATCAATAATAATTGATATATTCATTGATATTTGATAACAAAATTAATCAATAATTATTTATATATTCATTGATATTTGATAGAAAACTAATCAGTAATTATTGATAAATTCATTGTTATTGATAACAAAATTAATCAATAATTATTGATAAATTAATTGATATATTGCTAAATGTTATTTGATTTAATTACTAATAACTTCATTAATATTTTATACAATCTTGACCCATAATTATAAATAAATTAAATGATATTTGAAAAAAGAATATTTATTGACAAATAATGGTCAGCCTCCATGCTTCTTATTAATTGTACAGTGTATTTCTTCGGCGCAACGACATAAAAGCACAAAATGCCAGAAACTGAAGCTCAAAATTAAATAAAAATTATACATATACACAACGAACCTGAATTCGCTGCAGAATATTATCAAAACGAAATCCTCCAAGGATTCAATATTAAAATCTCCGACAAAGTAATAAAAACGTAATTTAACCTAAAAGTAGAAAGCAGCACCTTCCTTAGGGGATTTAAATTCT